GTCACAAGCTCCCACTGTTCCTACCTGATGTTCCGCAGTTTTCCTTAAACAAATGCTTCTCAATTTGTTGTATCCTTTTGTTCAGTTTCCAGAGTATTAAACTTGTCATTTTAGAAATTTCTACTCTTTAATATTTTATTTTTTAAAATTTTGCCATAGGGTACATATACTTGCTGGAGAGACAGAGAGAGGGGAAGTGAGAAATCACCTCCCAGTGGGAAGGCCGTGCCACAATCCCTTCTCCTCTATTCCCCTCTCAGGATTTTGGGCACTTGTGCGCATGTGCCTGGCATATTTTTCAAGCTGCTGGGTCTGGAAGTCACACTGGAGTCAACCATGTGGGATCCAGTGCCTTAACCCCTATGCCATCTGCTGGCCCCTGGATCCCATTCTTAACAATTTTTTGTTGTCGTGGTTGTTGCAGGAGGATTTATGAAGCTCTTTGTTCCACCATTCTGAAAGTCTCACTTTTATGCACTGCCTTTTTGACCTTATTAAATCCCCATTACACCCTTGTGTGATAGGCACGATTACCCCATATTCCAGAAAAGGAAACTGAGGACCAGAGAGGGAGCATCTTGCTCAGAGTCAGAGCTAGTGAATGGTGAGACGGGGCCAGATCCCAGTATTGGAGTGTGGGGAGTAAACTCAGGAGCCAGTTGGGATCCCCACCATGGCCTCCTGGCCACACGGTCTTTGCCAAGTTATTTTATTGCCTTGCACTTCATTTTCTTTCTATAAAATGGAAATGAAGTAGTACCTTTTGCAGAGGTTTGGAAAAACTGAACCTTTCTGTATTATGATTATAGTATCAAGGTCTCGTTGAGGTTGTTGCCATTCTCCCTCTCCCTCCCCCCCTTGTTCTTGCTCATGGAAGAAATAAATAAGAATACACTGAGAAGTGGCATTTCATATTAAGGGTGAGGAGTTTCAATTACCTAGATAATTCCAGTACAGAAGATAAGTAATTCCATAGAAGTGCAAGAAAAAGAAGACATTTATTTTTAATGACCAGAGGGATCATGAACTCATCAGAGATAGAGACAGAGATACAGAGACAGAGACAGAAGGAGAGAGAAAGGGAGAGAGCACTCTCTTAGGGTAGCATGGTCATGTTCCAATCCCTTCTTCATTCTTCCATCCTGTCAGGATTTGGGGCACACGTGCACACCCGCCCACTGTGCTTTTCAGACCTCTCGAGGCAGGATTCAAATTGTTTTCAACTCTATGGCATCCAGTTTTTAACCACCAGGCTACAGGGCTGGTCCCTACAGAGAAATGTCTGACAGTCTCCTGGATTCTTGCCATTTCTTTGTTTACCAACTGGCTGAAAGGAAATGACTCCATCACATGGAACTTAGTGAAATAACCGATACTTGATGTCCACAAATGGCCGTTTCATGTGGTTCAGTCTAATAATATTAATGAGGATAACGATGATAGCAATTAAGTGCAAGGTCATTTTCACACATCCTCCATTCATCCTCCCAACAGCTGTGAGGTCCAGGCAAAGAATATTGTCACCACTTTTCAAGTGAGGAAGAAAGAGTATTGCTTAATACGTGCACTCACCCACTCACTCTGCCAACTGAACCTAACTTTTCTTTTTCTTTTTCTTTTTTTTGTGGGGGAGCATGTACTTGCTGGAGAGACAGAGAGACAGAAAGTAAGGAATCATCCCTTCGGGGGGATGGCCACACTGCAATCCCTTCTCCTCTGTTCTCCTCTTGGGATTTTTGGGCATGCAGGCACATGCACCTGGCATGAGTTTTAAACCAGGACTCGAACCACAGATGACTACATGGAAGTCCAGCAATGTAACCGTCATGCCATCTGAGGTTCCGAACCTAAGCTTTCTTATCTGTGCAATGAGATCGGTAGAACTGAATACCTTTGCTGAGCCTGTATTCTTGGCTTTGTAGACCTTCTAAAGGTTTGCAAGAAAACAAGGGGAAGAAGAATTCTCGGTTATTGCGGAGGTTGAGCATTTGCTTTGGTCGTGTCTGGGGTAGTATCCAAGAAATGAAAGGCTTCGTTCCTGTTTTGGAACACTTCTACCAGGTTTTGACCAACTGAGGAATTGACAGTGACAGAGGAGGTGGTTATGGGGGTGGAATAACCCCTAATCTCTACTGAGTGCTTACTTTCTGCCAGGTATTATATAAAGTCCTCGCAAACAAAACCTCAGAATGTTCTGAAAAGGTGCCGTTGTTTCCCCCATCTTTCTGACAGGAGTCTGGGCTTAAAGCACTTGCTCAAGGTCACATGGTTTGTGAGTGACAAAACTAAGATCTGAACCCAGATGGATTGAACCTCCGATCCTGATGTGTTCCCTCCAACTATCTACCCCAGACTTTACCTCCAAGATAGACTTAGAAAAATTTCCTTGGCTATATGTTTCATTTTTTTGTTCATCCATTTCATTTCAAGCCAATTTTTATTGTGTTTTCTTCTTGTGCAGAAAGAAAAGACATTATATTTTGGATATATTGGTTTTATGCATTTTGCTGCCTACAGCTCCCTTGAAACATTTTTGGCTAAAATGTAATAAGTGAAAGCACTTAAATTTTGGAGGGATGTCATGGAATGTTCTTTCAGGAGGTCAGAAGATGAAGCTTCATCCCTGATTGCAGTCTGGGACAAGAGTTTTAATAAGCTTTTTTAAGCTTTTTTTTTTTTTTTTTTTGGTATCTTAGGAAGTTTTCTGTGATGCCATTGAAGCATGGAATTGAAACTCCTCTGCTAAATTACTCCAGTCTCATAATACCTTTTGCTTCTTGAGTGTCGCAATTACTTATCTGGCTTTATTCTGAAAATAGACTTTCTCATTCTCAGTGAATGGAAGACCAACGAGGGGTGGTATGAGGGTGGAGTGGGAGAGGAATTGGCGGGCACAAAGGGATCAGACACGGCCCGTACTTATCTGAGGGTATAAATCTCTGGTGGGGTTATTTCAAAGCCAACATGACTATTTGATAAGAGGAAGATTCCATTAAATAGCTGGTGATTTGGTCGGTGCTGCAGCCAGAAACCTCTCTGAGTAAACTTATTTCTCCTGCCTGGGGCTGCCTCAGACCACACACCACACTGGAGCTCTCATAGTTGGATGTTCATTCATACAGTCGTCGTGTTTACTGAGCTCTTACTGCATGCAGAGGAGCAGTCCCATCATACAGTGGAGGGAATAAGAGACAAATTAAACACAGACTCTCCCTGCCACAATCCAGGTCAGGCAGGCAAAGCTGATGGCCGTGTCATTTATTTAGCAAATATTTGTGAGAGCAAGAGTCACTAGCCAGTAAAATGAGACACACGCAGAGTACTGGGAGGCTGTCACCGGGGGACACAGTGACAAAGCTGGTGGATATCTTAGTGCCCTTGGGTCTTCAGGAGCCATTCTAGGCATGGGAAGCAGTTTAACACATAGATGCCGCCATGTGGCCAGACAGGTTTTGATTGGAACCTGGCTCTGCCCTGTGTGTATACCCTTGTAACCTTGGAGAAATACCTCCATTTAGTGCTTTTTGTTGGTCGATTGGTTCTGGTGTTTGTGAGTACATTGAAATATACATACATAAAATGTACATTTATTTGTTTAGTGAAGCACGGAGAAGCAGGAAGAGACAGGGCCCCACGGTAGGGTCTTGCCACATTGCAATCTTCCCCTCAGCCTTCCAGCCAGCTAAGATTATGGGTGCTCCTGTGAGTGCACCCAGGGTGTTCAGGTCAACCAGGATCTAATCCCCAGGTCCTCCCATATAGCTCCAGCATTGCACAGCAGTGTCCTACTGCTGGGGCCACCACAGCCAGGCCAACTTGATCGCCTAACCATGTCTATTGTCACTGTACAGTTCCATGGCATTCAGTGCCTTCTTATTTTACTTATTTTTTTTAGAGGTGTTTGCCTCAGGGTGTATGTGCTCACCAGAGAGAGAGACAGAGTCAGAGAGAGAAAAAGTGAGAAATCACCCCCCCCTCCGGGGGCGGCGGGGATGGCCATGCCACAATCCCTTCTCCATTCTCCTCCCAGGATCTTGGGCACGCACACACACGTACCCAATGTAATTTTAAAGACACTGAGTGCAGGACTCGAATCATGGTCGGCCATGTGGGAGTCCAGCGACATAACTGCTATGCCATCTGCTGGCCCCAGTGTCTTCTTATTGATGTACAACCTTGCCACAATCCATCTCTGCAACTCGTTTCCTATTGCAAAACTGAAACTCAGTTTGGTTATACTGTAATTTACCATTCCCCCTTCCCCTCAACCCCTGGACATCATCCTACTTCCAGTCTATGAACTTGGCTATGCTGCATACTTCATGTAAGAGCAATTTCCCAAAAGTTATCCTTATTTGTTAGCATAATGTCCTCAAGGTTCATCTATATTGCAGCGTGTGTCAGAATTTACTTCTTCTTTAAAACTGAATAATGAGTATAATAATAATATATGTGTGTATGTGTATATATATATATAACATTATTTAGCCACTGATGGACAGTTGGACAGTTTCTGTTTTTTATTTCCCACTTTTTGGCTGTTGCAAATAATGCTGCTGTAAATATGGATATACAACTACCTCTTCAAGACCTTGCTTTCAATACTTTTGGATATATATACAGACATGGAATTCCTGGTATGGTAATTCTGTGTTTAATTTTTTGAAGAGCTGTCATACTGTTTTCCACAGCAGCGACATCCTTCATTTCCTTTTCTATCTTCAGTTTTTCTCCCCTGTATAATGGACATGGTAGTATGACCACCTACCAGGGTTGTTATAAAGATGGAACAAAGTAATGTCTGTGAAGGTCCTGGAGGGTGCCCAGCAGGTGCTCTGTATCGGCTCATCTGTGCTTCCCATGTGTGTGGTGGGCTCTGTTAGCTAAAGCTCACCTCCTTCCTAGTGCTTCAGCCATTCAGCTGACCTGACCTCCTGCTCTTGGAGTCTCCTCCTGTCTATCTATCTTCTCCTCTAACTTTTCTCTTCTCTCTTCCCCAGGCAGTGGAGGAGCTTCTGCAGACCCTGGATCTGGAGAAGAAGGCAGTGGCCGTGGGGCACAGTCAAGTTAGTAGAGCTTCTTAAGACATTCTGTCCATCCCAGTGGAGTCCCAGATAAGATCTAATTTTTTAAAAAAAAATTTTAGAATTATTTATTTAACTTTGTTCATTATTTTTATTATCCTTTTTTTATTTGCTATAGGGCATGTGCACTTCTCAGAGAGAGACAGAGAAAGAGGGAAAGTAAGAAAGCAAGCCATTAGATCTGGGACTCAAACCATGGTCAGCCATGTGGGAATCCAGTGCCTTGACCACCATGCCACCTGCCAGTCCCAAGATCTAATTCTTATTCTTCCGCAATGGTTCAATATGTCTGTATGTCTACATTTCCCCAATCAGAGACCAGGCTAATAATGTTCTTCCTTGCCTATCTTACAAGGCCAGGGAGATAAAATGTCATAATACGGATGGAAATGACATCAGGGAATATAATTTGTTAGAGGTTACACCCCCAGGGACCTCAGTGATTAGAAAGAGTTAACATTCTGGTCCTCAGTGTGACCTTCTGAGCCCCAGAAAAAGCTTTCATACCACCTGAGAAGAAACACTTACCTGCACTCAGAACCTTTTAATGTCTGGTTTGCAACCAACTCTACCACAACCGCACTCCTAGCCGATTAGCACCAGTAAGCGAAAAGCAAAGGGCTCGAGACGAAGGTGCATGCTTATTCGAGCTGAGAGAAATAGCTTTTCCCCAGCTGATGTGGAGCCAAGAGCTCTTCCAGATATGCTTAAATGTTTAGAGACAGATTTCACACTTTCCCAGTATGCTTCTATACTGGAAGTTTTCACGAAGAGAAACATGGTCCTCAAGGATTCCCAAACTATCTGATACCTCTGAACACCCCATTTTTGATTTGGTGAACTACTCATTATCATCTCCTGGGACTGGTGTTTCATGCTTATAATTTGGGAAGTAGAGTACATAGATTTTAAACTCAAGGACACAGTGGTGGGCAGGGGAAAAAGGTCAAAGTTTAGAAATAGGAACTGGAAAGGAAACACATCAAAGAAAAATTTTCTCCATTTCTCTCCCTTCCAGTCATCTACTGATTGAAAATGCCATGCAATAAACCACTGGAAAGACCCTACGCTCCAGAAGCCCACATGGTGGGATTTTTTTTTTTTGGAGAGGTTTTTGCTGTATGGTGTGTGTGCTCGCCAGAAAGACAGAGAGACAGAAAACAAGAAATTACCTCCCAGGGGAATGGCCATGCTGCAATCCCTTGTCCTCCATTCTCCTCTCAGGATCTTGGGCATGCACAGACACGCGCCGGCATGAGTTTAAGCCACTGGGTCCAGGACTCAAACCACGGTCGACTACAAGGGAGTTCAGCAACATAGCCATTATGCCAACTGCTGGTCCCAGCATTTTTAAGTCATTATTACTTTTTGGAACCTTCTTATCATGCTTCTCTGAAAGCAGCCCTTTCCTTGGAGATCTCACAGTCACCAACACTGGCCACAGCCTCTCGGATTAACTTCCACACAACAGTATCCTCTCCACCCGCTTGTCCTGCGAAGGTCTGTGGTTGGAGACACTCGTCTACCCTGGTCTCAACCTGACTTCCGCAGCTACCTGTTACAGCCTCTGGGCTTCTGCAGGGTTTCCCAATAAAGGGAGTGAACCTGTCAGTTACCAGGTCAGTTACCAAGCCAGGCAATTTCATGTTTTGTTTTTCTTTGTTCCTCATGGTCCTCTGTGAGATAAAAACTATATCCTTGCTTTACAGATGAAGAAGCTGTGACTCTGTCAGCGAGCCCCTCTGCAAGCTCCTCTAGATAGTTAAGGGTACAGACTTCACGTAAACCTAGATCAGGCCAAATCTTCTCAATACACTGTGGGTTCCCTTGTTCATTAATGGAAATGTGTAGCACATTCTTTACACAAAGGTCTTTATGGCCTTAAATCAGGGGAATTGTTCTCTGGGGACTTGATCCTTCTAGGCCAGCAGTTCTCAAAGGATGGTCCCTGGACCATTGGCATCACATCGCCTGACAGCCTAAGACCGAGTGGATTAAACCCTCAGGGCCAGTGTTGTAACAAACCCTCTAGGGGATTCCAATGCACGCTCAAGTCTGAGAACCAGTGGTCTAGATAATTACTCAGTTATTTGATGAATACAAAAGTCATTCTCTATGATCCCAGCAGAGAGAGCAGAACATGAAAGAAAACAAAAGACTTTGCTGCACACAGTTTAACAGGGCCAGGAACAAGAAGTCTATAAGTGGTAAAACATTATCATTATCAAATAATACTTGGTATTACTAAGGAGAGCAAATCAAGGTCGATGTGTCCTTTTGGAAACCAGGTTAGGCAATTGACTGAGTTTTTTTTTTTTTTTTTTAATAGATTTTTGCTGTTGGGCACATATGCTCACTGGAGAGACAGAAAGAGAGACAGAAAGCGAGAAATCACCCTCCAGGAGGATGGCCATACTACGATCCCTTCTCTTCCATTCTCATCTCTGGACTTTGGGCATGCATGCACATGTGCCTGGAAGGAGTTTCAAGCCACCAGGTCCAGGACTCAAACCGTTACCGACCATGTGGGAGTCCAGTGCCTTAACTGCTATGCCACCTGCTGATGCCTAGACTGAGATATTTTTTTTTCTTTTTTTTGAAGACGTTTTTGCTATAGGGCGCGTGTGCTCGACAGACAGACAGAGAGAAACAGAGAGACAGAAAGCGAGAAATCACCCCCCAGGGGGGATGGCCACGCCGCAATCCCTTCTCCTCTGTTCTCCCCTTGGGATCTTGGGCATGCACGCACATGCACCCAGCGTGAGTTTTAAGCCACCGGGTCCAGGACACGAACCACGGTCAACTACATGGGAGTTCAGCGACATAGCCATTACGCTAACTGCTGGTCCCCCTAGACTGAGATCTTTAAGGGCAGATGCAACATCTTATGCATTGAGGGTTGGTTGTGATGCTAGGAAGCCCTCTGGAAAATAGAACTGGCATACCTAGGCTCTACTACTTCTCAACTGTGTGACTCTTGAGTTATTTCACTCCTTAGTGCCTCAGTAACGTCATCTATAAAATGGAGCCTCTGCTTTCTACCTCCCAAGTTGACCAGGGGAGTCACTAAGTTGTCATTTCAAAGAGGCTGGCAGTCATTACTCATTGAATGCATTTATCAGGGGACAAGATGTGTATTAAATAGGATAGCATTTTAGTGTTTAAAGAATCAAACTCTTCTAAACTGTAAAATTACCATGAAAAGGTGAGCTAATTCCTTGTCCCCAACTCTGGGAGCTATTGCTATATCAGATATTCAAAAATCTTGGCCTTCAGCAAGTTTTAGAGGAAAACAACTTGCCTGGCAGTGGCCACTCTGGATTCCTTAAAGGGAAGGATCTTGGGATGTTACACTCTGTTTGAGCCTGATAAGCAGCTACACCCACAAAAAGCGAATAATTTAGATTTTTCTTTGTGATTTTTCAGTCCCGAGTGCCTTATCGAGGCTTGTGCTGAGGGCCGTGACATTTATGAAAAAGGTGTGATTTCACATGCAGTCAGCTGTCTGGTCGGCAATATGCTCTTAAAGGAGGAAAAAAAAAAATCAAGATTCCACAGAGGCAATGACTTATTCCCATTCTGTGTATGGTCGTTTCCAATTATCTTTTTAATGAAAGCTTCATACTTAATCAATAGTGGTTTTGGCAGTCCCCACCACCTATTGTAATGTAAGAACTGGTGCTGTCATCACTTTGATCATTGATTTTTAATTTTTTTTTATAACAGCTTTTAGGAGTCACTAGCTTGTGAAATTAATGCAGTCATTATTGAGACAATCTGATAGGTAATGAGTCAATCGTGTCTTTATTTCAATGAAGCTAATTGTCTTTGGTGGCCCAGGCTGAGAGGAAGTGTTCTGTAAGGCGTTGGAGGGCTGCAAAAACAGAGTTAGCCTCAAATGGACATGCTCATTTCATTTTCCCACTGAGAGAAGACTTGGCAGAGTGGTCTCCATTACTAAAAATAGGTTTAAGGTAATAAAGAATCGATTGAGACCCTTTGTTCCACCTAGAATCAAATTGCAATCAAATCCTAGACTTCAGGTATTTATATCATAACGAATGAGGAAATGAAGCCTCACATTGACATTGGGAATGGGTTTAGGAAATAATCCCAAGGCTCTGGGTTCAAGTCTTCGCTTTGTTATCACTGAGTATATGAACCTAAATGAATTACATATCTTTCTAAGCTGTAAGATCCCTCTTAGTGTTTTTGCTTTTTTATTTTTAATTTTTTTAAAGAGAGATCTCTGCTATAGGACATGTGTGCTCACCAGAGAGACAGAGAGAGACAGAGACAGAAAAACAAGAAATCACCCCTCCCGGGGGACCTGGCCATGCCCCAATCTCTTTTCCATTCTCTTTCTGGGATTTTGGACACACACACATGCACCCAGTGTGAGTTTCAAGCCTCCAGGTCCAGGACTCAAACTGCGGTCAACCACATGTGAGTCCAGCAGCATAACCATTTCACCATCCGCTGGTCCCATCTTCATAGGGTTTTGAGTATTTAAATGGGACATAGGGGGAAGAGCTTTGAAAAATGTAGATACCATAACAATGTCCATGATATTCAGTAACAACTGGAGTCTTGTCTGGAGTCAGAGAGAGGGAAATAAATCCTGGGCTTGTTGCTCATTAGTTTAGAAGAGTTTGATTCTTTAAACACTAAAAAATGCCTTTTTTAGCCTTAGTTTCTCCCTCCACGAAATGGGAGAATTATAAGTACCACGCAGGATTCGGCATGTGCTTTACCTGCCTATTGAGTGGTTTGCTTAGCCCAGTGCCAGAACACAGGAAGTGCTCCATAAATGGTAGCTGTTAATTGGTAATGTCAACAAATAAGATAGAACTAGTCGGTACCTTCATGGAAACGGAACTCCTTAGAAGTTATAAGCCATATTTGACAAAGAAACACACAGGATGTGGCATGGCTCTATGGCCTGTGGTTAAGGCAGCCAGATTCCACATGACCAACCCCATGGTTTGAATCCTGGACCTGGTGGCTTGAGAAACACACTAGGCATGAGTGTGTGTGTGCCCAAAATCCTGAAAGGCGGGGGAGATGGGGGAAAAGGTATTGCAATGTGACTATTTTCCATGGTGGGAGGTATGCTTTCTCCTCTCACTTTCTCTGTCTCTTTCTGGTGAGAACACATGCTCTTGGCAGCAGGGAGCTGGGGTAGGCAGGGCAGGGAGTGAGACATACACAAGACTATCTTTAGAAAAAAAACAGCATAAAAGCATCTGAAAAGTGACCCCTCCCCCTTGTCACAGACTCAAATCCCACCATTCAAGAATCTTTCCTTTGCCTCTGAGGAGGTGAGAAAATAGCCACACCAAACCGTAGGTACTTTGCCATGTTGGCTGGAGTAGATGCGCCCCGAAAGCTGCAGGTTCTCAGAAAATCCTTTAGCCCAAACATCCAGGACACTCTGCCTTAATCTTCTGCTGACAGTGAGTCCTGGGATCCTGGCCGTTCCCCCATTCCCATTCCCCCTGTAGCTTATTGGAAGGCAGCGCTGCAGGGTGCTGAGGAGCATTGATCACAGTGTCGCAGAGGCCATCATCCATTATTGATGAGCCACGGCCTGGAGACCATGTTCTGAGAGTCGTTTTCCACTAGATGCCCGAGTACCTCCATGGGGGGGGGGGCGCTCCAGCCCAGCCCCACTCCCTCCAAACTGGGGAGGGCTGTTCTTACTTCTCCTACAGTTCTTGCTCCTTCTTACAACGCTGGACCACAGTATTTCTAGGCCAGCCCGCCCCTCAGATCGCTAGCAGCACTTATCACAAAAGTGCACATTTCAGGCCTGACCCCAAATCCATGGATTCTACCTCTCCTGAGGCAAGAGCAGGGAATCTGCTCCTTCACTCCCCTGGTGATGCTGGTGCACAGAGCAGCTGAGGCACACCTGTGCTGGCAGCGGCCGTAAACCAGCATGCATGTGCATGCCCTGGGAACTGGGCTGAAGTGCAAGTTCTGGCTCAGCAGATCTGACTGTGGTCTGAGATCCCGCACTTCTCAATAGCTCCCAGCCATGGACCACACTGAGAATCCAGGGGCTATAGAGGAGAGGAAAGCAGGGCCTTTAGAAAGGAACTTTCATCATTTAGGCCCTCATTAAAGGACAGCTGTCAACACATGGGGTGGATGCAAGAGAACTAGGATCTGGGGAACCAGCAGTTAGTGTAATGGCTATAGCTATGTTGCTGGACTCCCACATAGTCGACCACGGTTCACGTCCCGGACCTGGTGGCTTAAAACTCACTCTGGGCACGTGTGTGTGTGTGCCCAAGATCCTGAGAGGAGAATGGAGGGGAAGGGATTGTGGTGTGACCATCCCCCCTGGGGGGTGATTTCTCGCTTTCTGTCTCTATGTCTCTCTCTGTCTGGTGAGTGCATGCGCCCTATAGCAAAAACCTCTCCAGAAAAAAAAAAAAAAGGAGAGAACTAGGATCTGGGTTGTAGCACCTCCCATTCCAGACCACCTGGCTCAGCAGAGAATCACCTGCAAGCTTCCTTCTTCCCAGGTTTTCCTCAAGGCAGGTGTGGTCTCCAGGCTGGAGAAGCAGCGAGAGAAGCTGGTGTCCCAGAGCATTGTTCTCTTCCAAGCAGCTTGCAAGGGCTTTCTGTCTCGCCAGGAATTTAAGAAGCTGAAGGTACGGCATATTGTCAACACACAGACTCTGATTCAGTGGGCATGGAGTGAGCGTGGGGCTTCAGTGAATCTCCTTCAGTGAGGCCGAGGCTGCCAGTCTACGTCTCACCGTGCACAGTGAGCTGCTTTGCAAATGAGGCTTTGCAGGATGTTAGGATTATTTCTCGGGACATTGGCATCCAATTGCCAAAGATGTTGGCTTTAATCTAGATATTCCTGAGGTTGTGCAGACCCTCCTGCGCCAATTTGTGTCTTCATCCTGTTTCACTACTAGAGGAGTTCATAGGTCAACCTACTGGACATGGGCAGGTCCTGATCACTCAGGTGCTTGGGACTCCAGGGCAAGTAGAGCTCACAGTCTTGAGACATCCTGGGTCACTATCTTCAGAGCTCTCTCTTCACTGAACTTCCTGCCTGCAGCCTGCATGATGGGCAGGAAGCCACACGGCTTCGGGGACAAATGATACATGTTTGAATCTCACCCCTACCTCTTAGCAGTTGGGTGAAGGTGAGAATACAGTGCGTGGTACACAGTAACTGCTCAGTAAATACCAGCTGCTATTACCTTAGTATCATTCTTCTAAATTGCTATTTTTTAAAGTTATTTATTATTATTTTTTAATTTACATTTAATCACTGTATATCTTTACAGAGTACAACATAGTTTTCCCCAGCATAAATACAGTGCATATTAGTCAAGTCAAAGACATTACCATACACATTATCATCAGCAGATAACTTTTACTTTTTGTGTCTATTAAATGTGTTGTTTGATTTTTCCCCGATTCTCTCCCTCTACTTCCTACTATCTACCTCCTATAACCTTCCTGACACTGTCACTAGCAGCTACAGTTGCCCTCTTTGCAGCGAAACCTTTTAATCTTTCAGTTTCTGCTATAAAGCACAGCCATTCAGTATATATATTGAGCTGGGACATACAATGCTTCTCATTGTTTGACTCACTTCACTTTGCATTAAGTCTTCCCTATTTGTCCACTTTTATCAAATTACCACTACTCGAATAGAGTTTTATTACATGTGCCTCCAGCTCATGTGAATTTGTCAGTTCAAGTGTATGTGCTTGGCAAAAGAGAAAGATGTGGAAACATGAATAAGGAAAATACTATGGACAGCTCCACTGGTATGCTACTCTGCTCACCTGGTGATTCAGGTGCACAGAGAATTCTGGTCCACTGCATCAACAACTTATCCTTGGGATGATTTGGGATAGAGGTTAAGAGCCTGGGCTCTGCTACTGGCATCATGCAAGAGACTTTACTTCCTCTGCATCTCTGCTTCCCCACCTGTAAAATAGAGATGATACTAACACTGCCTTTCTGGGACTGCAGTGAGGACTGAGCTGAAGTGTGCACGGTGCCCTGGGCAGTGCCTGGCACTTAGGCAGTGCTGTACCATTTGTGAGTCTTGGCTGTTGGGGTGGCATCTCCAAGCCTGCCATTAAGCCCAGTCTGCCCCAGTGATAAGAACGACTTAGTGGGAGCTGCTCAAAGAGCACCAGCAGCTTCAGCAGCACCTGGGGATGTGTTAGAAATGCACTTGGGCCCTGGACTTACTGCATTGTGACCTCTGGGGCGAAGTCCAGCAAGCCATATTTTCACAAGCTTTCTGGGAGGTCCCAGTGCACACTCAACTTTGAAAAGCACAAAGTTGGTGTTGAAAATACAATTTGAAAACTCTGTCCCATAAATATAAGCTAACAACATAGTTCTGAGTCCTGGGTATTGTTTCTTGTGAGCAGTTTTGGGGATTTTTTATTTTTTTTTGAGAGATTTTTCTTATAGGGTGCGTGCACTCACTGGACAGACAGACAGATAGAAAGTGAGAAATCACCCCTAGAGGAGATGGCCATGCCACAATCTCTTCCGCTCTATTCTCCTCTCAGAATTTTGGGCACACACGCACATGAGCCCTGCATGAGTTTTAAGTCGCCAGATCCAGGACTCGAACCACAGTTGACTACATGGGAGTCCAGTGACATAACCATTACACCATCAGCTGGTCCCAGTTTTAGGGATTTTAAGAATAGATGTGCCTTACATGGTGACTTTGAATCTCATCCCCGTAGAAGGTGTAGCCCTGGTGTGTCTTCTACTCTCCCCAGCTACTATTATCTGGTTGTTCAAGACTAAATTGTGGGATAAAACCTGATGCAGAGAGCCTGAGGTATCAAAAGACTCTGTGAATGGAAACCTTTCATTGATTTATTATGGAAGTTACCCAGTCCCTTCCACTAGGCTATAAACCCACTTTCTCCTTGCCCTTAGCTTCCTTTACTCCCACCCGGGTCAGACCCCTTCATTTTTCTCTTCTCCTCGCCCTGCAGATTCGCCGACTGGCTGCACAGTGTATTCAGAAGAACATGGCTGTGTTCCTGGAGGTCAAGGACTGGCCATGGTGGCAGCTCCTTGGCTCCCTCCGGCCCCTGCTGAGTGCCACTGTTGGAAATGAGCAGCTCCGAGCCAAGGAGGTGGGTCACGGCAGCAGGCAGGGCTCTGGGTGGGGCTGCACCTTCCTCTCTCACCAGGACCCAGTGTTCCCAACCCAGAAAATTCTCGCACTAGCAATGCTCGGTCCAACAGCCTCAGGTATCTTTGACAGGGTCTCACCATGCCATGATCCCTCCCTGCATCCCAACCAGCCAGGTCCCAAGTGGGTGCACCTGACATTCAGGTGGGCCCAGGCTCTGAACTCAGGGCTCCTCATTTGGCTCTAGTATCATGCAGTAGTGCCCTACTGCCTCCACCACCACAGCTGGACCAGAGAGAGGTGTTTCTGGCAGTCTCCCTGTGTCTTAGTCCTCCCGTCTCAGCCTCCTGATTAGCTAGGATTAGAGGCACGTGCAACCAAACCCGGCCTCCCCATCAGCTTTCAGCCTCCCACATGGTGGTGCTACCCATGTGCCTCTGCTGGGCCCGAGCCTTTTATTTTCTTACCTCTCAGAGGGCCCTTCCTTCCCAGCTCTTCCATCTTGTTACCACCCACCTTTCACAGGTAAGCATTTCCATGGGTTTCTGCTTCCTGCTGTTTCTTTGTATTAAAATTAGCGAATACCACCCACATACATGAGTTTCTTTCTTTCTTTAATAAAAAGTAGAATATTATGTATACTCTTCTGCAGCTTGCATTTTCCCCCTGACAGTATATTCTGAAAATCATGCCACGTTCATTTTGTTTTGAAAGTTAGAGGGCCTATTTTATTTTGAAAGCTCTGTCATAAATTTCTAGCAATGCAGGTGCATGTCCATTTGATAGAGCTATTCCTTGTTCTCTTCTTGTGGCTGTGTAGTACTCCTTCGTGTGTACGGCCTGTAGTTCATCCCACCAGCCTGCTGTGGACAAGTGTGTAAGCTGCTCCTAATGGCGGTAGCACAAGTGTAGTATCGAGCCACTGGTGGAAAACTGTTATTTAGGGAGGATGGAGTCTGAGCATACTATCCACATTCAGGCATGCCCAGTTTCAGGTTAAGCAATTGTCCCATTCTAAGGATTTTCATTTAGATCCTACCCTGGGTTGGTATGGACCAGACTTGTGTCCACACACACTTTGAAATTCAGAAAAGGCTGAAAAAAAAAAAAAGTAGGAACTTAGCATCTGGGTATTACCAGATACACTGGCTGATCGCCGACTCCATTCTCCAAACTCTCTTTACCAAAAAAATAAAATAAATAAATAAATAAATAAATAGAAATGTTTATTTCTTCCATGAGAAAGAGAATCAGACAGACAGGCACCCCCAACAGGATACTGACACCATATTTCACCTCTAGCATTCTGCCAGCCCTGAACCATGGGTTCGTGCTTGCTTGGTGAATTCAGGGAGGCCTCTGGTGTGAACCTGGAACCTATCCATGTAGGTCAACCTTGCAGAGCATTGTTTTACCATTGTACCACCATCCGACCCCTCCAACCGCTCT